GGGGCGGGGTCCCGGGGCCCCCAGCCCGGGGCCGCGCGAGTGACGCCCGCGGTCACTTCACAAGGCAGAAATTGTTACCCGGGCGATAAAAGGCACCGCGGCGGGGGGCGCTCGGGAGTGGGCACATGGGGGTGCGGGGGCGCGGGTGCCAACCGCCATGGGTTAGGCCCGAGATCGGAGTCCGGCCGCCCCCCCGACAGCAGCCGCCTCCTACTCTCCGTGCGCCCTGGGCGCCACCATGTCGGGCGACAAACTCCTGAGCGAACTCGGCTATAAGCTGGGTCGCACGATAGGCGAGGGCAGCTACTCCAAGGTCAAGGTGGCCACGTCCAAGAAGTACAAGGGCACGGTGGCCATCAAGGTGGTGGACCGGCGGCGAGCGCCCCCGGACTTCGTCAACAAGTTCCTGCCACGAGAGCTGTCCATCCTGCGGGGCGTGCGGCACCCGCACATCGTGCACGTCTTCGAGTTCATCGAGGTGTGCAACGGCAAGCTGTACATCGTGATGGAGGCGGCCGCCACCGACCTGCTGCAGGCCGTGCAGCGCAACGGCCGCATCCCCGGCTCGCAGGCGCGCGACCTGTTCGCGCAGATCGCGGGCGCCGTGCGGTACCTGCACGACCACCACCTGGTGCACCGCGACCTCAAGTGCGAGAACGTGCTGCTGAGCCCCGACGAGCGCCGCGTCAAGCTCACCGACTTCGGCTTCGGGCGGCAGGCGCACGGCTACCCGGACCTGAGCACCACCTACTGCGGCTCGGCGGCCTACGCGTCCCCCGAGGTGCTGCTCGGCATCCCCTACGACCCCAAGAAGTACGACGTGTGGAGCCTGGGCGTGGTGCTCTACGTCATGGTCACCGGGTGCATGCCCTTCGACGACTCGGACATCGCCGGGCTGCCCCGGCGCCAGAAGCGCGGCGTGCTGTACCCCGAGGGCCTCGAGCTGTCGGAGCGCTGCAAGTCCCTGATCGCCGAGCTGCTGCAGTTCAGCCCGTCGGCCCGGCCCTCGGCCGGCCAGGTCGCGCGCAACGGCTGGCTGCGCGCGGGGGACTCCGGCTAAGGGCCGGGGCTCCCGCGGCTGCCGCGGTTCCCGCCCCGCGCCGGGCGCTGAGCCAGCGCGGCGCACGCGCGAGAGGCAGGCGCGCTTCCCCCGGGGCCCGCCGGGCCGCCCTCGCCGCCGCCGCCGCCGCCGCCGCCGCGCGCCACTGCGCACGCGCGCCCCTTCCCCCCTCCCCACCCCACCCCCCCAGCGGGGGCCCGCGTGGTCCCCGGGTGCAAGCGACCAAGCCTGTTCTCCCAGAGCCCGAGAGCCGGAGGGCGCATGCGCATCCTCGAATCCCCGCGGGAAGGCCCCGGGAGGGGCGGGAGGAGAGGACACGGACGCATTGCGCCTGCGCGGAACGAGCACCGCCGCCGGCCGCGCGGGAGCCGGGGCGGATCGGCCGCCCGCCAGCGGGCGCGCGGAGGGCGTCGCTCCCCGGCCAGCCGCGGGCGCCAGGTTCCCCGCAGGAACCTGCAATAAACTCGCTCTTCCTCGCACCTGGCTGCAGCGGTGGCCGCTTTCACGGAGCCGGGGTGGGGCCGGGGCTCGCCCCGGGGGAGGACGAGGCACGCGGGCGGCCGGGCTGCGGGCCTCCTCCGGGAAGTGGGAGGACTCGAACCCGGGGCCGCAGGTGGCGGCCCGTGGGAGGGAGGCCGGTGGGGTCTGGGCCGCAGCCCCTGCCGTCCCCTGCTGCCTGAGCCGAGCCCGGGGCACTTGGGGAAACTGAGGCCCCCACCCGTGTCCTTGGGCGGCCGGATCCGTTTCCCCGGCCTCCAGCGCCCGCAGCGCCCGGGACCCACCCGCAGCGAACCCACGGAGAATAAAGGCAAGGCGTGGCGTGGACGCGCGTGTGAGTTGTGCTGGTGCCCGGCGGGGATGGGGGCCCGGGCGCCCGCCGCCCCCGCGGCCTGGGCCTGCCCCCGGCCCCCCCTTCCATCTCACCCTGCCTCGGCCTCCCCGTGCCCACCCGCATGTCCACCTCACTGGTCTTTGAGAGGGATGGGCACCTGACTGCACCCCCCCAATTTTGGGGTCCCTGTCCTGGCAGGATGACACCTGTGCCCCACAGGCCCAGCATTCAGACGGGAGTCAGCCTGGGCTGATGACTTGATCCTCCTGTTCTGCCCCCCCTCCCCCTGCAGCCAGGGCCACAGGTGTGTGCACAGGCCCCAGTGACAATCTTGTTCCTAAATTGAGCCCTCGGAGGTGAGTGAGTGCTGTTGACGGACTCGTAATCCTCCATTTGAAGCCAATCCAGGCAGATAAATCCGTGGGACTAGATCCAGGTAACCAGCAGCCAGAAGTGGAGCCGTGGTTCAAGTGGCAGAGCACCAGCCTTGAGCGAGAAAGGTAAATGTAAGCTTGAGGCCACAGCGCACACAGAGACCTGAGGCAGGCCCTGGCGCTCTACCCTGTAATCCCGGCACTCACTTGGGAAGGAGTTTAAAGTCAGCTGGGGCTAGTGAGACTTTTTTTTTGGACCGTCTTGAGGCTTGAACTCTGGATCTGGGCATTGTCCCCGAGCTCTCTACCACTTTAGCTACAGTGTCACTTCTGGCTTTCTGCTGGTTAACTGGAGCTTCTTCTGAGTAATTTATCAGAGATGAGTCTCATCTCTCGGACTTTTCTGCCAAGGCTGGCTTTGAACCCTGATCCTCAGATCTCAGCCTCCCAAGTAGCTAGGATGACAGGTGGGGGCCACTGGCACACAGCTGAGACCCTTTCTAGTTCAAAACCATTCAACTGTCACCTCAGATTAAGATGCATGCACGCAGCTGGGGCTTGGTGGTGATGCCAGCTTTGCAAGCACCAAAGCCTAGGTTTCATCCCTAGCACAAAGCAAATTCAGCTTGGGAGCATCAGAACTGCTCACCAGAGCCGGCTCACGGTGGAGCCGGTGTGGGGCTCTATGCTTGTTAGCGCGTGTGCGCGTGTGCAGGGGTGTGCTGATCCCTGGGGCTTGAACTCAGGGCTGGGTGCTAAGCCCTAAGCTTTTTTGCCCAAAGCCACTGCTCATTCACTTGAGCCACCCTTCCACTTCCGTCTTTTGTAGTTACTTGGTGATGAGTCTCATGGACTTTTCTGCTCAGGCTGGCTTTGACAACCTTGGTCCTAGGATGAGCAAACCCTAAAGCACACACAGCCCAAGTCTCCAGCTCCATGGGGTAAACTAGCCACAAGGCCCCAGGCTCGGTCCCCCCACAGCGATGCACCCACTCTCCTCCTTCCCACCTTTTTTCCGCATGAGCAACCCCCCAAGAAACCAGGGCGCAGGGGACAAAGCTGTCAACATACCATCCATTTCTTTATTGCCCACAATCTAAACCTCCCGGAATACAGTCCGTGGCCCCCAATCCTGGCCGCCTTTCCAGTGCAGTGGCGGCTTTCTCCTTTGTGTTAGGAGCTGGGCACGGTGCCTCCCGAGTGGCCTGCTGGAGGCGGAGGTGGGAGGAAGGAGGTCCCGGGCCCCTGCCCCATCACCAACCACCCACGGCTGTCAGGAAAGGCCAGTACGGCCCCCGCCAGGCACAGGGCCCTGCGCTAGCGCAGCGCGCTGCACGGCAGAGCCAGGCCGAGGGGACGGGCGGCCCCAAGCCAAAGCTGCGCTGCACACCGTGTGCACCCCGGTCTGCCCACCAGACAGAATCTGGGCTGCTGGGTCCCATGAGAACCCAGGCACCTCGCTTGTCGGGGGCTCCGGGCGGGCGGTGTGTGCACGCGCGTCCCTGGGTGTCTGTCTTGTCGCGGGTCATGGTGGCAGCGGCTGCCTGCAGCCTGGACGTGCACATTCTCAAAGCCTGTGGGAGCCGGGTCCCAACAGGATTCCCAGGGGGACAGCAGGACCAAATCCTTAGGAGGCAGGGGTGTGCCCCAGCCGCTGGGTGCCCCTTCTCCCCCCACCCAAACTCCAGGCCCAGAGGGGAGTCGGGAAGGGCAGATGTGCACCAGGCCGTCACCGTGAGAGGCGCCGGAGGCCGGCGCCCACCGCAGCACAAATGGCAGGTTAAGGCAGCTCACAGTCTTGGCCCTTTAAAAAAGAGAAAGGCGTGGTTACGTCATGCAGGTTGCCAGAGCCTTCCTCGCGGGGCGGGCAGAGGCAGAGGCCAGGCCGCACGGACGGCAGGGATCAGAGAGGCAACAGCTCGGTAGGAAAAGACAGGAATTTATTTGCCAGGCACAGAAATCGCGAGGAGTAGAAACGCTTGCATATTCTCCATGGTTTTTTGGTGTTAACTCCCTTCCCCCACCCCAAAAAAAGTAGACTTTCCTGGGTCCCCCAAGTCCCTTCTGGAATGGAGGCCCCGCCCGCACGGCCCCCACAGCACATTCGCAGTGAAGCTCGGAGTGGACGGGCGCGGCGCAGTGGCCAGTGCTGAGAGGCCACAGGGAGGAGGCTTTAAATTAGATCCCCAACCTCACCGGGCGTGGGGGGGGAGGGGGGAGGGCAGCTCCCGCCTCCTGCTGACGGCGGAGTCGTAGAGACGGCGCAGGAGGTGAACATGAAACCAAACTAGAGCAGACCTGATCCTTAAAAACAAAACCGGGAAAGAAGCCAGCCACCTGCCTGGCTGGGTTGGAGGAGGGAGGGGGCCGGATCGGAAGCGAGGCCTGCGGTAGCCCGGCGGCGGGCGGGTGGGCAGATAGGCAGGCTGCAGTGTCCGTGGAAATAAGTAGGAAAAGAAAAGAATGAATAAAATAACCCCCACGCACGGCGGCGGTGCCCGCGTCCCGCCAGGCTGCCGGCGGTGGTGCCCGCG